TAGGGCCGTAGTTTTTCCGCCCGCCCGCCCGCCAACGGTCCTTTCAGATCGCGTCGCGTAGGGCCGTAGTTTTTCCGCCTGCCCGCCCGCCAACGGTCCTTTCAGACCGAACTCCCCAAGGCACCGCGGCGATCCGGGCCGTAAACGGCCCGACGGCCCGGATTCGCCTGCGATCTTAAAACTTTGAGATCGCGGGGCGATCTGGGCCGTCGGGCAGGTGCAACTGCGAACGGCCTGGATCGCCGCGCGCTCTTAAAGATCTAAGATCGGGGCCCAATCCGGGCCGTCGGGCCGGTAGGTCCAAAGACGGCCCGGATTTCAGAATTCTGACATTAGCGATTTTTATAAGTGTAGGGATAAACAGTTGCAGGTGATCATCGCGACGAGATGTGGAGGGCAATGACGTTGGTTCCAACTTGTGTTCTTCTTCTTCTTATGTCCTAAACTCATTCTTCTATTTGAGTTAGGACGGATGACATTGTCTGACATTCGGGTTTCGCAATATGATGGACATGTTCATAGCAGATGAAAAGAAGCAGTTGACTCAGAAAATGCAGAATTCCGAGTCTGCAACTGTGCAGGTCATTGCATGACAAAGAATTAGGCTTTCTTTCCTTCACTCTTTGAAAGGCTTTCAAAAAAGAGCCTTCTTTTCAAATACTTGGACGATATAAGAAAATGGAGTTGGGAACAAAAGGTTCTGTTGAAGAAAACTCACCTTCACCCAGAACTTTGCTTTCTGGAAGGATTCCACATTTGTAATATCATACACAACAGTTGCAGCAGATGCGCCTCGATAATACAATGGTGCAAGAGAAGCATATCTGGACAAGACGTGTTTCAACAGTTATTAGAACTAGGCCAAGACGTGTTTCAACAGTTATTAGAACTAGGCCATAGCAATGGAGAACCCAATGGCCTGCGCATCTGAATAAGTTGCTTTGTGGCTCATGCGAGAGAAGGGGCGCATGCAAGGATAAATCTTCAAACTTTGCAGTTTTGGATATCCGTTTGTGACTCTGCCAAGACAACAGTAGACCACCAAATCGAAATCCTCATTGTTTTCACTGCATTCATGATTTATGTATGAAGTCTGCCCGAGGGTCTCTCAATTTCAGCAAGCGTCCAGCAAGCCTTTCACAACAGAAACAGAGGGACAAAACTGAATCTTGTTCTTCAACAGCTAAGTTTCCAGCTCGACAACCGTCAGCTTTCACCGTTTCCCATCAAGCAACTGGACTAGCCAAATAGAGCACACATGCTTGACATTCGATGTCCATGTACATTACCAATGGCTGGTTCTAGAAAACAGCGCATTACCAATCGCCATTTAAATATTTGCGTAATACGCCTGTCAGCGAGCTACCAAGTTTATGGTATACCCCTGTCAGGGGCAGAATACGAGCTTGCGCAACACCCTGACAGGGGTTAAATCCAAAAGGGCATTTCACAGACTTCTGAAATTTCAGAAGGGTATTCCGCTCTACCCACAACTTCTAGGGGTGTTCTACCATATACATGAATGTTCAAGGGTACCCCAAAACATAATACACATAAATGAAATAAGTAAAAGACTTTTCTAGCTTAAAGCTGTAGTTCTACGAAGGTCCTTCACTTAGGGCCGAAGCGCCACAGTCTCTCAGATCTGTCTTCAGCCAATCAAAGGCTAATCTCAGGAAATAAATAAATAACAGACTTTTCAAGCTTGGCAGTGGCACAACGAAGGCCTTCACTTATAGCCGGAGTGCCACAGTCCCTCAGATCTGCGATCAGCCAATCAAAGGCTGATTTCAGCACATAATAAATAAAAGACTTTTCAAGCTTGGAGCTGGGGCACTATGAAGGCCTTCGATTAGGACCGGAGTGCCACGGCCTCTCTGATCTGCGAATGGCTGACTACAATAAGCAGGGTAGCCCGCGTTCGGTACGGGCCGCATGCATGAACCCGAACGCCCGAACGTTCGGGACCCGCAGGCCTGACGTCCAGGCCAAACGCGAACTTTTTTTTTCTTTCTTTTTTCTTTTTTTTTGCGGAGGTGGGATTCTTCACTGCAAGCAGACTTGTCCTCACCTCATGTTCAACATCCATACATGTAGCCGGCGATGGCAACAGAAACTTCCACAGAACGCAGAATCAGCAACAGACTTGAGATGGCGCAGTGCGCCCACACAAAAAAACTCAGACATGTGGCCTTCGACCAGGAACTCAGCTCAAAACAACTTGTCACATCTCATGGCTATGGCATCTGAGCGCCAGTCTAGGATTCGCACCCGAACACTATATCCACCGTCAGACACACTCACATGCACATACACGCACAACACTTGGATCTACCCTGAATGTCTGCACATACACACACGCTAACTACTACCTCGTCACACTGGCGGCTATGGCCGCCATCGTCTTCCTCCTCTCTAGCAGCTATGGCCGCTTGTCCTCTTCCACCTTCGGGCTCTATTGCTGACCACAGGTGAACTCAGCGCACAAGTCACTCAAGCAGCGCTTCCGCGTAGTTCCCCAGATAACGAGTGAATGACTGATCGCTGCCTCTTTATTTATACTGTTTCGTTTGGTGGTCTGGGCCTGCCCGATGTCCCAGGCTCTCAAGATGTGCACTCCCACTCTGGTACTTGCTACAAAACGGACTGGACTTGGGACTGACCTTTCAGAGATCTACGGACTGCCCTTTCTGCAATCAGACACTCTATTTTCACCAACTTGCATGCATACAACAGATGGCAAACAGGCTGGCGCTAGGCGCCCACTCAAAACTCAGAGATATGGAAGTCGCGAACACAGTTCAGATGCAAACTTCGTCCCACAAGCTATGGCGTACAGGCGCCCTGTACATCCACTGTCGTCACTGTGTCCAACACTGTCGCACACACGCACTCCACTCTGGATCACCCTGAATACCGCACACGCGCACACTCACTGTATACACACACACACACACACACTGCTACTACTAACCTGGCGGCTATGGCCGCCTGCTAACTCTACCACTAACAGCTAACTTCCCCTCTGCCCACTTCGACCTTGGGCTCCTGCAGACCACCTCGCACAAACACTCGGGCAGCGCTTCCGCATGGCACCCCGCAGAATGAATGAATGGCTGGGCGCTGCCTCTTGATTTATACTTCTGTAGCTCGTTGGTCTGCCTCTTTCCACAGGGCCCATGGTGCACACAGTCCCTCATGGTACTTGCTGACTGTGCAAAGTGAGACTGGGACTGGGTACCGCTGACTAAGCACCACTTGCCCACTTGCCTCTGGCCTACTGTGTAAAACGTGAGAAGAAACTCGAAAGGCCACTTCCGGACCTTCCGAAAGCCTGTGGACTTGGCCTTTCGGGACTGTAGCAGCTACGACTTGGCCNTTCAGGACTGTAGCAGCTACGACTTGGCCTTTCAGGACTGTAGCAGCTACGACTTGGCCTTTCGGGACTGTAGCAGCTATGACTTGGCCTTTCAGGACTGTAGCAACTACGACCTGGCCTTTCAGGATTGTAGCAGCTACGACTTCTAGAACTTGCTAAGATCTCTGCTTGACAGGTCTACAGATCGAACCCCTACAACCTACAGACTCTACGACAACCTACCAACTGTTACGATTACACAGGTCACGGGTTCAACTCTCGGGGTCGACACAGGTAATGTACACAGGTAAGGTAAAGTCTAGGGATCGAGCCCTGGGATCTGCATTCGCTACTCCTAGCAGGTGAATACCGCTTCACTCCCGCCTGCCTAAATTCGAGGTCCTCCGAGAATAACTCAGTCCAAGACAGGACCTTTACCTTTCCTATCTCTCTCGTAGGCTCTAACTATGTCGGGAGCTGTTTCTAGAAGTTCAGTTCCGGTAAACCAGCGGTCGTCTTCTGGTTCTCGATATGCAAATCGGACCTTGTACTGTTTCTGTGGACGACCTCTACCTCCTGTTCTAAACACGTCTTCACCTACAATGCCGTCAATGTCGTACCTTCCATCCATGTCCGGAGGAATCATGGATCTTCTTGATGGAAACTGTTGACTTGTGACACATGGCAACAACTTTAACGCATGAAACACGGGATAGGTGTGGAGGTGTGCTGGGATTTCTACTGTGTAGGACGGCCCATCCTCTCCGCCCTTAGCTTCTAGAACTGGTCACGGTCCTCTGTACGCTGGCAGTAACTTCTGCGAAACGTTTTCGTCAGGAGCAAACTCTTTAGACTTGACCCAGACTAGGTCGCCTACTTGAAATTGCGACGGGCGACGGTGTTTGTTAGCTTGTTCTATCATTTGGTGGTGGGCCTTCCTGAGGTTCTCAACAACAGTAGCTAACTCTTTCTCGTGCTGTACCGCAAACTCCCTAGTACCGGGCGGTAGCCTATGAATCTGATCCCGGTTAAGTCCCTCGAACGGTCTGCGTGGTCTAAAGGATTTGTGCAGCTCATTGGGAGTGTGACACGTGGCTAAGTGCACGCTGTTATTATAGGCACTGGCTACCTTGGGCAACATCTCATCCCAATTGACTTGATCAGGTCTAATGTACATCCTAAGAGCTTGCTGCAGGATCTTATTCGTCTGTTCAGTCTGACCGTTGGTCTCTGGATGACGGCCAGATGACAGCAGCAACCTAGAGCCATAAACTCTCATAACTCCTGCCAGTTCTGACTAGTGAATCTGGTATCTCTATCACTAACTATAGAGAGCGGTATACCATACTCCTTCACCTAATGATCGAAAAACTTCCCTATAACTAAATTTGTTCGTGCCTCTGAAGGCAAAGCAACAAAAACTGCATACTTGCTAAATCTATCAACTACGACCATGACTTGGCTCTTGCCATGCCTACTCTTTACCCCAATATCCATAAAGTCAATGGACACCGAATCTCTGGGTCTGTCAGGAATAGGCAAAGGTCTGAGAAGACCTAGAGGGGCTTGCGTAGTGGTCTTGTTCCTCTGACACACTTTGCAACTGCGTACGTACTCTATGCAGTCAGCTTTCATATCCGGCCACGTATACGTGCATGAGAGGTTAGCTAAAGTCTTTTGCCAACCAAAGTGTCCCTCTGTGTCGTGACATTCCCCTAGGATCCAACTACGGATCTCCTCACTGTTAGGAACACACAAACGGTCAACTACGTTAGTCTTCTCAAACAGCAACCCATCAGTAGTGCGGTAATGAGGTTCTGTCTCCGGGGCTTCCTTAACTCTCTTAAGGAGGTCGCTATAGATAGGATCTTGCGCATACGCTTCCTCAACTCTTTGCTGCAGGTCTGTTCCTATATCTGAGTAATGCACTATTGCCCCAAAGTAATCGGCTCGTCTACTCAGAGCATCCGCAACTACATTGTACTTTCCTTTCACTGGCTTGAGCTCAAAATCATACTGGTCTATCTCTGCGGCCCACCTAGTAAGCTTAGGTGTCATCTTGGCCTGAGTCTTTAACCACCTCAGGGTCTCGTGGTCTGAATAGACTTTGAAGTGCCTCCCAAGTAAGTAGTGCTTCCAATGTTCTAAGGCTTGCCTGAGAGCGTAGAGTTCCCTCTCATAGGTAGATGTCGCAACCTTCTCTGAAGGCATTCTAGCAGACATGAACTCTACGGGTCTATACCCATTGCCATCATCTTGCTGCAACACAACACCTATTCCATACTGACTTGCGCCAATTGTGACAACAAAGGGCAATGATGGATTAGCTACCTTGAGGACTGGGTACTCAATTAAGGCCCGCTTTAGCTTCTTCAGGGCCGAAGTACAGTCTTTGTTCCAACACCAGATTGCTTCTTTCTTTAACAATCTGCGAAGGGGCGCAGCGATAGTAGAAAAGTTTCTCAC